TACATAAAATAATATTTTAGAGGGTCTAACCCAGAGATAATTCTGAATAAGTATTATTACCCCTGTTAATTAAGTATCTTTCACAAAAAGAATTTTTTTTTAAAGATTTATTTATTCATGCATACAAGAACCGGGGTACGGGCCGGATGTACGGGAGGGTGAGAGGATTCACCAGAGACAGAGCAGGGAAAAGAACAAGCAGATTGAGTGAAATACACTGCTGAGGGGAGCAGTGGGTGAGACAGGAGATGTCTGCCAAACAAAAAGAATTTTTATAACCATTAATCAAATTTCTTCTGAGAAGAAAGGTGGATAAAGATGCTACATCTTCCCCCAGGGAAAGGACAGAAGGTGCACTCAATCACATATCAATTTGCCTCTTTTAATACAGTTTCTAATCAACAAGAATTGCTGGTTACTGAAGCATTTTCTTCACAGGGCAAATATCATTATAATAAATGTCAACAAACGCCCCAAACTCCTTCGTCTGCAATACTGATTTCTTAAATAATGACACTCTCAACTAGGGTTTAAAAATCTTACAGGCTTATGAAAAATACTCATTGATGTTTATGATGACTGAGTTTGCCGTACACACAACATGTAGCGTGTTACTCTAGTTCATACGATGTTTTTTTTAACTTCACTTTCTCCACTTACCTCCATTTTATCAGCATAAAAATGTTTCCTATATAATAAATATTTCAAAGTCCGGAAAATAATCATTTCTTCATGAAAGTCTTCCTGTTATACCAAATACAATTTACAATCACAGGGCCTCCCTGGTGGCACAAGAGGTCAAGCACTGCACTATGAAGCAATCCGCAGTCTCTGCAGCACGAGTTCGATCCCCGGCTGGCCAGAGAGAAACCCACACGGCACAGCAGACCACTCCTGTCTCACCAGCTGCCCCCCTCAGCAGTGTATTTCAGTCAGTCTGCCTGTTCTGTTCTACACTCTGACTCTGGTGAAATCTCTCACCCCCCGCATCTCTGGCCTGTGCCCCAGCTCTTGTATGCATAAATAAATAAAATCTTAAAAAAAAAAATTTACAATCACATTCAGATAATGAGAACAGACTTAACCACCTCACGGATCCAGGAGTTCCAGCCTGGCAACCTTCACTATCCAAAACACACAAAACTAAAATGCATGAACTTAAAACCCTATGTAGTTTATTTGCATGTACTTGAAGTATAATTTCAACTTCTAAGATTCTGAATCATTTGAACAAAGTCATAAAAAATATTTTGGGGGGGCCTCCCTGGTGGCACATGGGGTTGGGACACAACCTATGGGGCTGTTCCAGCCACTGCAGTGTGAGTTTGATCCCCCGCAAGGGAGCTACCCATGTGGCACAGCAGACCTCTCCTGATTTGCTTGTTGCTTCCCTCAGCAGTGTGTTTCCGTCAATCTGCCTGTTCTGTTTCCCGCTCTGTCTCTGGTGAATCCTCTCACCCCCTCCCCACACCTCTGGCCTGTACCCCAGTACTTGAATGCATAAATAAATAAATCTTTACAGTCTTGAACACTCAGTGAATGGTATCCATGTGTGTATACATTTTTATTAAAAAAATGTAAAAACTTTGAACTAAAAAAAATGTAAAAATTTTAGACTAACTTTTGTTATTTAGTCATTAAAAATATCTATTTTTTCATCCCAGCTATTAAACTATACTTCTTGCATTGAGGCTATTCATTGAAACTCCTGCTGTCACTCTCTTGCTGACTTTTGTGTTTTTATTGCTGCAGTTACTCCATGGAAATACATCATGAAAGGTGCTGTGTTAATAAAGAGCTCTATTTTTACAAAATAAATAAATCTTAAAAAAAATAGTTTGGGGACTACCAGGGAAATCTGATTATGGACTACATTTTAGATATTAAGGCACTACTGTCCATTTCATGAGGTTAATAATAATGTTGTGGTTATGCATTTGTGGTCTTTTCAGATATACATAGATAAATATTTAGGGATAATAGCATGATGTCCAATTATCTTTAAATTATTTCAGAAAAAATTAATGAAGTAAATATGACAAAATGCTATAATCTAAGTTTTAAGAATAAAAATATTTATTATACTATTTCCTCTAGTTTCCTGTATGTTTTAAATTTTTCATAAAAAAAAATAGTTGATGTTTTCTAATTCCCTAACAAAGACTGCCGGTCTGATTTTCTAACTCCGCCTTTGAAAGTGAAATCAAAAGTTCAGAGCAGCAAGAAGAGAAAAGGGTGAAGATTGCTGGAGTGAGGCATGTTGAGAGTTGCAAGGAATGCCCACTGATAACCTGACAGGAAGGGAGCAGACACCCAGGCAATACTATATACGAAGTGCAAATACGGGCCTCAGGCTATGAAGACAGGAGTTATTTCACTGCCATCTGCTGTTACAAAGCAGTGTAATAATTAATAGAGCCTGGGATTCTCCTCTTGCTCTTTGTTTCTGACTGACTGCCTAACCATGGCATTTTTTATGTTACATAAAAATAACAATTCGCAAAGTTGAAAAGAAAAAAATTACATACAATAGCAGAACTCTACAACTAGCAATATAAAAGTATAAATGTGGCCAATATTCCCAAATATCTGTTTCAAATAAATAACTTTCTATACATGGCTCAGAATTTAAACCAGCATTTTCCACGTTCGTACTTAGCACATAAATAGTGAGAAGGAATGCATAGAATTTAATTAATGAAATCCTCCTTTATTGGAAGCAAAACTATTTTCACTTTCCACACAGCACTGTAATGAAAACCATTCCACATACATTTTTTTCCTTCTTTTGGATTATTTATTTGGGATAGTATCCCAGATTAGTGGGTCAATGAGTGTAAACATTACCAAGCTGCATCCTGCTTCATTTTCCACTAACACCACAAGAGTACACTCAGTGCATTACATCAGTATCTTAGACACTGGCTTAACTTTTTCTCCCAACATTATAGAGAAGTGATCAATATATAATTAACTGTGTGTAAGTAGTGCCTACAACTTGGTGAGTGTAGATGTATGTATAGAATTATGTTAATAACATCACAATTCAGGTAATAAACATTCACTACCTGAAAGTTTTCTGATTAAACTTTTATATTATTAATTCAGCAGTTAAAATATTATCTAGGGCCTCCCCTGGTGGCGCAGCAGTTGAGCGCTGGGTTGCGAGGCTGCCCGCAGACTGCAGCGCCAGTTCGATCCCCAGCCACCAGCAAGGGTCCCACCAAAAAAAAAAAAAAAAATTATCTAACTGTAAGTAAAACAATTAACAGAAAATGTAAGATTTTTCTGTATGTTCCTTCACCAACAGTGTTAACTCTTTTGAGAATTCTCACAAATCAGTTAAACTCTTAGGGCTTGAAGGTCTCTAAAATGAGAAGATTACGGCAACCTCACTTGTAGTCACAGAAGAGAAAATTAAAGAGTACCCATCTCTCCCACATGAGATAGGCAAGATGTCCAGACTGATCGGTTCCAGTGTTAGTGAGATTAGAGAGAAAGAACTTTCCCATATATTGCTGGTGAGTATAAGCATTCGAAACTAATATGACAGTACACAAAATAAGTGTATTTGACACTTACTCTGTAAGTATGAGTTTACACTTTAAAAATTATAATTTTTATAATTTTAACCCATATATCCAAATTTTAAAATATATTAGACATCCAACTTTTAAAACTATCCTATAGAAATAAAGGCAGCAGTGAGAAAGATCATTTATTTACAAATAGATTATGACAAACTAGAAAACTAGAACCTCCTGAATGTCAATAAATGTAACAATTTGTGAATAAATTATGCCACAGCTATACTAGGGAATGTCAAACAGGCCCTGGAGCCACTGTATATGTAGACAGCCCTGATCTCTGTATGCAGGAAAGCAAGCTGCTCAGTGATGATCACACAAATCTTTAGTTTTCAAAAGAAAAGCTCTACATACGTATCACAGGCATTGCTGTTTACTGCTACAGAGAAAGGAGCAACAGATACAGCAAACTAAGAAACAATGATTTCTTCAAAAGGGAAAATAATTTTCTTCTTCATATTCCTCTATGTGATTATTTCATTTGTTGGTAATTTTTAAATGTCCATAGAGAGTACAGATTTTGTTAAAGGAAGAAGTACTGGCTATCTCTCAGATTGCAGTTAATTCCTAAAATGCACACTTCTATGAAGGAAGGTTCACAAAAAGGTCATTGAATCTTTAAGGAATGTGCCACTATGCCCAGATGCCACAGCATGGAAGACAGGTTTTTAAGACTTACAATACAAATAGGCAATACTTTTAAGTTTTCACACAAAGGAATAAATAAAAAACAATTTATATGAAACATCTCGGCCTTTTCCTCCACTATACAGGATAAATGAAACTTTATATTATCCAAGCCAATGAGCTGTGCAAAAAATCCCACCAAGAGTGTATGAGAATGTACAGCGAACCCCTCTCCCACTCACTCCTAGATTCATTCTAATGAATTGGCAGCAATCACAAAGAAAAGGATTTCTATTCTGTGAGTACCCAAAAAGCAAGAATCTTATAAATCAATTTCATGCCTAAATGAAAACAAGAAAAAGCACCAAAGAGATTTCTCATCAGTCTCTTCTCTCTAAGGAAAATCTTCTAATGAAGGGGAAAAAACATTTAAGAGGAACAGGCCCAGCCTTTCAATTTCTCCAAGCTTAGTATTGTAATCAATGTGCGTTCTAGTTCTTAAAATTTGGCTCTTATTAACTGAAAATACTCACACATCTTTAAAAGGACGCTATCAATGTTCCCAAGGGAGTGACAAGAATGTTAACACTTGGGAACAGGAGTAACGCTCACCAGTGTCAGGACAGTTACCATCCAAGTCAGGCACTAGTCCCAAGTAGGTGGGCTTTTTCACTAATATTGTAATCACTTCTGAAATTAGCTTATGGGACAAGTCCAAGCTTAGACATTACTCAATTAAATAATTCAAAATCTTCAAACCAGGAAAGAATCCCATGTTAAACTTACCATGCCTACAGTCTTCATCAGCTTGCCCATAGTTTTTCTGCAAAATAAAAGATACAAGATAAAATTAAATAGTTCAAGGATTGCTTTTAACAGATTTTATCAAAAAGAAGCCAAACTTTGTTTCAAAGTTTAATCATTAAGAGCAAAGCTAACTCATGTGCTCTCTGAAGATCAGCGCACTCTACAAATAAACATCATCACCTTCCCTAGTCCATTTACTCCCACTTCCACATCTCTCCTTCTCTAACCTCCAATCGCCAGGACCTCCTCCCCATCCTCAACCTTTGCTCATATATTTACTGAGGAAAACCACAGCCGTGGAGACAATCCCCACATACTGTCCCCATCACATCTGCCTGTTTTCCTGCACATTCTCTGCCTTCCACCTGCTGCCAGATCAACTATCCATACTCCTTTCTAAAGTCCACCCTACACCATTTTCCAACCACTCAAAAAAAGCTCAAGTAAGTAACTGTGACAGCTCTCACTTCTTATTCCCTGAATTCAATACATTACGAAATCTTCTTGGTTCTAAATTCAAACCAGAGCCAAACCACTCTCCACTGCTACCACGTTGGCTAAAGTCACCGTCATATCTGGCCTGGATTATTCCTGTAGCCTCCAAACTAGTCATGCTCAATCTACTTTTACTGTATATTCTCAACACAAAGTCAAAGAATTCCTGCAAAGTCACTCGTCTGCTCCAAACCCCACAATGATTCCTCACCTCAAGTAAAACAAAAAGTAGTCTTTAGAGTGACCTGGAGGGTTCCACAGGGTGAATAGCTCCATTGACCTCTCTTCCTTGTGCACTTCACTCCAGCACATTAGCCTCTGAGCTGTTCCTCAAACATGGCAGATATGCTTTTACCTCAGGATCTCTGCGCTGACTCTTCCCTCTGCCTACACGCTTGTCCTCCAAACTGCAACATGGTGCATTCCCTTACCACCTTCATATTCCCTTCTCAATGGGGCCTTCCTTGACCATCCTATTTAAATTGTAACCCCATCCCTAACGTCAATACTCCCAATTTCCCTTGCTCTGTTCTCCTCCTTTTCATACAGATTGTTTCTTTTAACAGTCTAAATGTTTACTTATTTATAATACCTAGTGATTATTATCTATCCCCCAGTAAGAAAAAGTATTATTCTCTTTCTTTTTCACCAATATATGCCAAGTATCTAGAACAGTGTCTAGCATATAGTATGTACTCCATAAATGAGTGAATAACCCAAAATGCTATACAACAGTACAACTTTCAAGAGTCAAAACATAACCATTTACTATCAAAAGTATAACAATCACTAGCCACTTTACTTGTCTCCCCAGTCTAGAACTATGACATCTGTAGGGAGTGATCAGCAAGAGTTCCCACTCAATGAAAAAGATCATTTTACATTGTTCAGCATCGCCTGGCCAAGTGTTTACTCACCAGTTGCAAAAATGAGGCAATTCTATAAAGAAGACTCTCGATTTTAATGCTTTCTATCTCCAGCGGACATGGTCCTGTGAAGTCGGCCATGGAATACTGGCCAAGAGAAAGGAGGGCCTCTGTGCAGTGCTTGAGGGCCATTTCATAGTCCTGCCTCTTGAGTGATTCACACGCTTGTTCACATGACTTCTCAGCTCTTCTGTCTTCCATGACTCAGGGACAAAAATCCTAAGACAGAGAGAAAGAACAATTAAGAAAAGTCTTAAAACCTTATTAATTGTAAATTCTAGCCCCATGCTTATCGTCATTGGCTTAATTATCTATCTGAACAGTTATTCTCAACCAGCCTTTTGATCAAGGTCACAGCTGAGCAGCAGCCATTGATGCTACAAATCTATATTTCTCATTTATATTTTATGAAGTCCTTACTAAGAGCCAAGCAAAATGTCAACCATAAGTCAACAGAACACTAACAACACAACAAATTTATAAATTTATAAATGAGGCAAATTTACAAATGAAACATGACTTTGTATATTGCCAAGTACAGCAAATCCTTTGTGGTTACAAAGGATTCTTCTTTTTTTTTTTTTCAACCAGAAGGTGGAGAAATGTTTTCTATTCAAACCTCACAATTTCAGCCTTGCATTCTATGACCGTGATTACAGAGAATCAAATTCTATGCCATGTAGGATTTTTCCTACCAAAGTAAACTGGCTAAGACACAAGTTTCAACTGCCTATTAATTCAATTCCACAAACATTTCCTGGGACCAGACTCTGCTACAAGCCCTGGGCTACAAGCACTAAAGACAAAAATGGAGCATGTCATCACTGCTTTCAAGAAACCCAGATTCTAGTATGAAAGGCAATGCACAAACGATTACAAGACTTATTCCACCCACTAAAAAGGCATGAGCTGGTCTTGAGATTGAACAGAAGTTCACCACACATGGATGGCAGGGGGTGTATGCAAGCTTTTAGAGAGAAGAGATCTCGCAAAATCACCAAGAAAAGAAGATACACAGCTTAAACTCCAGTTGCATCAGAGGGAGACGAAGAGGGGCAAGAAGAAATGAAGGCTATATTCCACAGGCAGTGGAGCATGCTGGAAAGTTTTCAAATAAAGACGGAATCTATCATATACAAGTCCTGTGAAGACTGGTTAAAGCAAGCATTGCCATTAATAAGAAAGAAGAATGAGAATTCAAGCACAGCTTCTCCTTAACTCTATCACTCACATGGCAGGGAAAAGACCTGGTCCGAGAAGACCTAAAGACGTGTGACCTGACATCACAATCCTAATACAGAGAATCGCTTCTGAGTGACCTCTGTTACCACCTCTGTAAGGTCTGAAGATTGCTCAGCTCATTCGTCCACCTTACCTACCCTCCTGCTTTTCCCTACCTGCCACCTCACTATCCTGTCCTGAGTTTGATCCCCAGCCAGGGAGTTGACCCACAAAGGGCACAGCAGACGTCTCCTGTCTTGCCCATTGCTCCCCTTAGCAGTGTATTTTGGTAACTCCACCTGTTCTGCTCCCTACTCTGTCTCTAGTGAATACTCTCACCCCCTGTTCCTCTGGCCTATACCCCAGTTCTTCTACACAAAAATTAAACTAAATAAATAAAATGCCTATGTAACACAAATTATTTTCATCTATTTTTTGCCAGCTAAATAAACCGACGATTATGCACAAACAGTCATGGAGAAGTAAGAGCATCTGTGAGTCATTGATAAAGATGAACTAGCCCCTAAAAATTGGTTATGAGGGGAGTGTTGTCAACATAAGTTGCCAAACATATTAGCAAGGGAGATCTCACCAACATTAATACATAAGTAGCAATTTGGAGACTAGCTATTACTTTCAGGAACTTTGGGGAGAAATTATCTAATTTACAGAACTAATGTCTCTGATACAACAGACTCAAGTGACTGTATCAGAAGTGGATATGAACACTCCTACCACACAAGTACCTATGTTAATCAGGTCCTAATAATTAATCTCAAACTAAGGTCTAACTGAACCTCAGTGTTGATCTCCATACAAAACAGGTGTCTGTTCAATTGCTTTCTTTGGCCTTTCAGAAAACAGCAAGACCTTACTCACACACCCCTGAAGTAGCTAAAGTGCTTTCTCAAACATGAAATAAAAACTTATGAGGCTATCAGCAACCACTACAGCACAAGTTCGATTCCCAGCCAGGGAGCTGACCCACATGGTACAGCAGACCTCTCCTGACTTGCCTGCTGCTCCCTTAGCAGTGTATTTCAGTCAATCTGCCTGTTCTATTCCCCACTCTGTCTCTGGTGAATCCTCTCACCACCCCACACACACACCTCTGGCCTGTACCCCATCTCTTGTATGCATAAATAAATCATTAAAAAAATAAAATAAAATAAAAACTACCAGTTAAAGTCAAAATGAAGGGCCTCCCGGATGGCGTAGGGGTTAGGTCTCAGTGCTACGAAGCTATTGGCAGCCACTGCAGCCTGAGTTCGATCCCAGCCAGGGAGGTGACCCACATGGCGTAGCAGACCTCTCCTATCTTGCCCTCTGCTCCCCTCAGCAGTGTATTTCTATAGATCCGCCTGTTCTGTTCCCCACTCTGTCTCTGGTGAGTCCTCTCCGACCCCGCACCTCTGGCCTAACACCCTAGTTCTTGTATGCATAAATAAAATAAATAAATCTTCAAAAAAAATAAAATAAAGTCAAAATGAGACAAAGTCTCAGGCCAAGCTAAAATGGACCACAGAAAATACAGGACGTGAGACCTGAAACTACTACTTCTAAGCCGGCCAGCTCCCAGACACACCTCACTGTGTAGCTGACACTCATGTCTGGGATACACAGACATCCGCATCTACACGTTATGAGGCTGCCCGAACAGCCTGACCCAAGGGCAAGCGCTACCAGGCGGCGTCCACGAGCCTCCTCCCGTGGAGACAGAGAGGGCCGGGGAATGGAGCTGAGTCACGTGAGTGACGTCAAGTAGGGAGAAGTACCAATCCCCCCGCTGAGAGGTGCGCCCCTCTCTGCCCTGATTCTTTCTCTTCCTGTTAAAAGTTATCCAAATTTCACCAAAAGAAGAGAAAAACAATACAACTTTCTACAAACTCCTCCCTCTGTGAGGAACACTGACTTGCCAGATTTAACTTCACAGGCAAGAAATCTAGAACCAGAAACCCATCGCATTAGTTGTTCAGTCCCCCGGTATCCATTCCTTTTCCTGGGGGCAAGAGTCCACAATTCCCCTTTCAGAATTCACCTCTCCCGACTCTCTCGGCCCGTGGAGCGCCTGAAGAGCTGGCCAGGGCTCCAAGGGTGGCACGTGACCAGAACTGGCCAATCAGAGCCTTATATTCCCAACCACAGGGATTGGCTAAGCCTAAGACATGTGACCTACGGGACCAACCAAACTTCATGAAACCTTCGCTAAGGCTTCTGGGATAAAAAGACAGGCGCTCTTTCCTGCTGAATCCAAAAGCTCAGGGGCTGATCATGCTGCAGCCATTTTTCTAAAACACAGTGCCTGTAGCTGAAGTCTAACTAGGAAAAGGCAGTTCATTCACGAGCAGCCAAGCCCTGATGACACTACTTGAGCCCTGTGTCCAGCCAGCTGTGCCTAGACTTTGCAGTTAGATGAGTCAAGAAATATTTTCTAGATTAAGTCCATTTAGGTTGCTGTTTCAGGCAGTTGGAGCTAACTGATATATTTTATAAATATATATCATATATATGATTATATATATAGTACCTCACAGAATGATGTAAAAAACCAAATGAACTGATAATTATCATATGAAACTGTATATGCATGTTTATAACACTGGTCACATGATGATTACTAATAACAAAAGGTAGAAAGAGGAAAAAAGTGGACATGTAAGAAAAGTTACTTAGAAAAGTTACTTAGTGTGATTTGGTTCTTCTGCCTCTTAAAACTGTAAAATTTTAAAACATTTGTTTAAACAAGTTTATCATAAAACTATTTCAGTACTAACAAGCATCTGTTGTTGAAAGTTAACTGTATGCCAGATTCTGTTGAGAAGACTTACTAATGTAATCTAATTTAATCTTCACAGTGACCTCATCAGGTGGATATTATTATTACCATTCCCATTAACAATGGAATGGAAACATTATTATTATTTCATTTACATTTAAGTTCCCATTTACAAAGGCTCCCAATTAGTTTTCTTCAGTTAAGGAAACTGAAGCACCGGGAGGAAGTGTGCTTACCCATTGTAACACTGTAAATAATAGAGGCAGAAGTCAATTTCAGACAATCTGACAGCTTTTAGCTATGACAGTGATTCTGAATCCACAAACGAAAAAGGTCCTAATGTTCTAATGATTAGAATCTCAAACTCAGGTACTCCCAAAATCATCAAATGTGGAGGGGTAAAATATAACCATTTTAACTCCAGGATCATCTCAAAGACTAATTTCCAACATAGTTCTGCATTCTAAAAGTATACATGCTAACCACATAAGTGATTATCAATTTTTTTGTTTAGCTGTTCTCAACAAAAATTTTATTTTAAATTGGTGTTTGAGGGCCTCCCCGGTGGCACAGCGGTTGAGCGCTGGGTTGCAAAGCTGCCTGTAGCCTCTGCAGCGCCGGTTCGATCCCCGGCTGCTCCCCGGCCACCGGAGGAGGTTCCACATGGCGCACAGACCTCTCCTGCCGCCCGCTGCTCCCCTCAGCAGTGTACTTCGGTCCTTCTGCCTGCTCTGCTCCCCACTCTGGCTCTGGTGAATTCTCTCGCCCTCCTGCGCTTCTGACTGTACCCAGTGCTTATATAAATAAATAAAAAATAAATCTTAAAAAAAATAAATTGGTGTTTGATTGGATTTCAATGTAAAAAGAAGTTTCAATTTTTGTACTATCTCTTGAATCTGTTCCCTGCTTTCATTTCCCTAACATTAGCCTAAATCAGACTTAGGTATTTTTTACCTAGATTATTCTTTTTTTAATTAATATTTTATTTTATATAAGTCTTACATCATTTTTCATTTTTGCACAATGTATGCATTTTCATTTTGGTTATTATTCCCCATACGGTTCCGCTCCCCCCTTATTTTGACCCTATTCCTTCCTCTCCTCCCCCCCACCCGTAGTGTGTCTCTGGTTTATAGTTGCTTGCTTGTTGATTTTGATTTTTTAGTCATTTGCCTAGTCCCTTATTTAGGTTTTTTAAATTCCTGCTATGAGCGAGACCATCCGGTATTTTTCTTTTTCTTTCTGGCTTATTTTGCTGAGCATGATCCCTTCCAGCTCCATCCATGTTGCTGCAAATTGCATGAGTTTATCTTGTTTGATTGCTGAGTAATATTCCATGATGTATATATACCACATCTTCTTGATCCAGTCATCTATTTTTGGGCATTTGGGTTGTTTCCATAGCTTAGCTACTGTAAATAGTGCTGCGATAAACATAGGGGTGCAGGTGTCCTTTTGATTTAATGTTTCTGTGTCCTTTGGGTAAATACCTAGGAGTGGAATTGCTGGATCATATGGAAGCTCTATCTTTAGTAGGTTACGGAATCGCCACACAGCTTTCCATAGTGGTTGGACCATTCTGCATTTCCACCAGCATTGCAGGAGAGTTCCTTTTTCTCCACATCCTCGCCAACATTCATTGTTGCCAGTTTTTTTTAATATGTGCCATTCTCACTGGTGTAAGATGGTATCTTATTGTAGTTTTGATGTGCATTTCAAGTGATGTTGAACATTTTTTCATATGCGTGTTGGCCATTTGCATTTCCTCTTTGGAGAAGTGTCTTTTTAGCTCTTCTGCCCAGTTTTTGATGATTACCAATTTGTTTAAGTGTAAAAAACCTCACAAACCTAAGTGAGCTGATCTCATTTAATTAAGCAAAAGTTGTGTGTCCCCAAAATTAAGGAGCACATTAATTAGCACCACCTTTCCATAAAACTGTAACATTTGTATCTTCCACAAAAGTCAGTTTTGGAGCCTCCCTGATGACGCAAGATGTTAAACACCGCACTATGAGGCAATCTGCAGCCTCTGCAGCACGAGTTCAATCCCTGGCCACCCAGGGAGCAATCCACATGGCACAGCAGACCTCTCCTGTCTCCCTGCTGCTTCGCTCAGCAGTGTATTTCAGTCAGTCTGCCTGTTCTGTTCCCCACACTGTCTGCAGTGAATCCTCTCACCCACGGCATCTCTGGCCTATATCCCAGCTCTTGTATGCATAAATAAACATTAAAAAAAAAGTCAGCTTTATGAGAACATTCCTATTAATAAGCTACTTTTCACCACTTTTATAAAACTTGTTTTAAAATCTATCCATCTTAGTGCAAGCCAAAAAAGAAAAAAAATTAATAAATTGGACTTTATCCAAATTAAACATTTTTGCTCTTTGAAAGACATTTTTAAAAAAATGAAAAGGAAGAAAAATTTTGCAAATCACAAATCTAATAAAGGATTTGTATCGGAATATATAAAGAACTTTCAAAACTCAACAATAAGAAAGCAACTCAATTAAAAACTGGGCAAAAAATTTCAGAAGACATTCTATAAAGAGGATACAACAAGTAAGCACATGAGAAGATGTTCACTGTACTAGTCATCACAGAACTGCAAATTAGAGTCATGATTAGATACTACTACATACTTATTAGAAAAGTTAAAAATATTGATAATATCAGTACTGTAGAGAACTGGGATTTTCATATACTGCCTGTGGAATATAAAATGGTACAGTCATTCTGGAAAAAAGGTTTAGTCTCTACAAAGTTAAAAAAAAAAAAAATACTCACTATATGACCCAGCAATCCTCTCTCTCCACAGACAGCTACCCTAGAGAAATGAAAACCTATGTTCACTCAAAAGTATGTACACAAATGTTTACACAGCTCTATTCATAATTGGTAAAAACTGGAAACAACTCAAATGTTCTCTAACAAGTACAATAAAAAACTACTCAGCAATAAAAAGAAACTTCCAATACATTCAATAATTTAGCTCAATCTCAAAGAATGAGTAAAAGAACCCTGTCTGAAAAGCTTGTACTCTGTAGGATTCAGTTTTATGGTATTTTCAAATAGACAAAACTATCAGGATGGTCAGTAGCTGCAGGGCTTATAGGATGGGAAGGGGTAACTACAAAGGGATAAGGTAAAGCAACTAACTGATAAGGGTGATGATACTGTTCTGTATTTTTATCGCCACGATGGCTGCTCAAACTAACACATCTGTTAAACTGATAGAACTGTATACCAAAAAAGAAAAAGCTTCACTATGTAATTTTAAGAATTTTTAAACTATTTTTAAAATATGAGTCCCAAAGTTACAATGGATATGGCTTTTGTTAAACTGAAAAGAAATAGATACAGAAGTTTGTTGTTAATAAATGAAAAACCTGGGGCCTCCCCGGTGGCGCAGCGGTTTCAGCACAGCGCTGTGAAGCTGTCCACAGCCTCTACAGCCCAGGTTCAATTCCCAGCTGGCCAGGGGGATTCCCACATGGCGCACCAGACCTCTCCTGTCTCACCCGCTGCTCCCCTCAGCAATGTATTTTGGTCCGTCTGCCTGTTCTGCTCCTGCTCTGTCTCTGGTGAATCCTTTCACCCTCCCGCTCCTCTGGCCTGTACCCCAGTGCTTGCATAAATAAATAAATTTTTTAAAAATAAATAAATGAAAAACCTACACCTTTCCCTTCCAGTGCATGTAGGTTTTAGACGTAAGAATGAAGCCTCAGAAATAATGCCTCCAAAAAGAACAATCATTGAGTTCACTTGGCACAAAATGTAGGATACTTTTGAAGAATTTCATCTTAGCTAAATAATTGGTCTAGGACCAAAAGTAAATACTGGAAGAAAAATGAAATCAATATTGTAGCACAAAGGTGGTAGGCAGACTGGCCTGGACTAACACATTTTTGGTAATAGATAAAGAAGGGAGGTAATTTAGAGGCATCAAGCTCTCAAGCTCTTCCCACTGTGACTTTTTTTTTTTTTTTTTTTTGGGGGTCACTTCTTAGCTTTTTTTTTTTTAAAGATTTATTTATACAAGCACTGGGTACAGTCAGAAGCACGGGAGGGTGAAAGAATTCACCAGAGCCAGAGTGGGGAACAGAACAGGCAGACTGACAAAGAAATACACTGCTGAGGGGAGCAGCGGGTGGCAGGAGAGGTCTGCGTGCCATATGGGACCCTCGCCAGGCAGCCCGGGATCGAACCAGCACTGCAGAGGCTGCGGGCAGCTTTGCAGCCCAGCGATCAACTGCTGCGCCACCAGGGGAGGCCCCCCACTGTGACTTTTTCAAAAGGATAACAATAACTCCAGACCAACTTAAAATTAAATCACGAAATGTATTTCTATTTTTCATATTAAAAAAATTCCTTAGATTAACTTTTCTTGTTCAAGTAGTCATGGTCCTCTTTCATTTCTAAAGACCTAAATCTTATTTGATTAGAGGCAGACTTCAAAGAACAAAAGTAAACTCTGATCAAATAGCAGGCGCCAACATGAGTAACTAAAATTTCTTCAATCTAAACTGAAGATGATTTCAGTATTTTTATTTTATACATATGTCTCCATTAGATATTTAAATTTACTTCATAATTAACTTGGGTGGAATGAATCAGACTGCATTTATGAAGGTTTTAGAAGACTGATGAGTTGTGCAAGCCTTACCAAAATCTGCTGTAACAAAAGCATTAACATCTTAATTGATTCTTGATTAGACCCCAAGTTATCTTTAGTTATCAAACTATACATGCAATAAACCATAGGAAAACTTAAAGGACAAAATAAAAATACATGTTTCTTACTTAACTAACAAAACAAAAATTGAAACAAAAGAAAAACTTCTAGAAAAAACTGGAGATTCAAATTTGTTTTTTAATCGGTAATTTAATCTGCCTCACACATCATTAGTCTCCCTACGGAAACTCAATTATTACCCTGAAAACAAAACTACACTAGAAAACAAATTATGACAAAAGTCAGATTGATATGCCATTAAAATAATCCACATGACCTAACCCAGTGGAGTAAGGAAAGCTTATCAGACCATGAGCCCTTCTCCCTACTGGGCAACATAACCATACACAGTGCATGTTTTCCCCTCAGGGAGCTAAAAAGCTAAAATTCATTACTCTAGAGAGGACATGGTAGCTCTGAAAGGCCTATAAAATAATGTTCAAGCTCAATACCAGATGAGGCCACCCGGAGTCTCATTAAATCTAACTTTTCCCCCAACACCCCAAACAGGCCCCAAGGAGGGTGAGGCCTCTTAACAACACCTCCTTTCCCTCTGCCCCAATGTCCTTTTCCTTCTCTCTCTAAATCCTACCGGACCCTACTTCCCTAAGCCCAACTCCTCCCAAAACAAGTCTCACTCCCTATGGAATGATTTGGCCTTTTAATCATCCATTATCTTGGATTAAATATATAAGGTGCCTTATCTGCCCAACACAACAATCTTATAAATAGATATCATGGTTTATATCATTTATATCCCCCCTGACAATTATTCAATTTACTAAAGCCATTCAATATTTTAATTGAATTTCCCAAAGAGATGACCTAAAATAACCTAAATGTCAACCATTCCAAGAACTGTCCTGTACCAAATTCAGTGCACTTTAGAATGCCAAGTCATAAGGGAGAATATTGTATTATCTTTAAAAGTATTGGCTTTTATCCAAACTGGAATCTTAATGGCTATATGGGATACACAGGCAAAATATTCTGCAAAGTAAAAAAAAGTTTTATTTATTTTACTATGCTTAACATTCAGCCAGACTTGCATTTTTCTCTAAAATGCTTATAAAATCAGAGTATACATAAAACTCCTATAAAATCAGAGTATGCAAGAGGCATTAGAAGACACTCTAAGCCCTATTAAGAAGAAAACTATAAACTAAGACCATCAATCATATTCTATTTTGAATAAACTCTTCCACTAAGAGGTAAACTCTACTAAGTTCCAAAATAAATGGAATTTAATACAGCAAAGTAAAATGTTTTAAATACAGGCCCTCCCTGGTGGCGCAAGGGGTTAAGCACCACACTATGAAGCAATCCACAGCCTCTGCAGCACGAGTTCGATCCCCCGCCGGCCAGGGAGCAACCCACACAGCCCAGCAGACCTCTCCTATCTCGCCCACTGTTCCCCTCAGCAGTGTATTTCAGTTCGTCTGCCTGTTGTTTCCCACTCTGTCTCTGGTGAATCCTCTCACCTCCCTGCATCTCCGGCCTGTACTGCAGCTCTTGTATGCATAAATAAATAAATCTTTAAAAGAAATTTTTAAATAAAAAATGAATGTTTTAAATACATAAAAGAAATGGCCTGATGGACCTCCTACTATTGGTTTAGTGACTACAATGATAAAAACAAGAAAAACTAAATTTAAAAAGTTATGATAGCTAAAATTGAGATTTTCTTTATCTACCTATTATTTTTCTTGACACATATTTCAGAAAAGTCAGCAACTCTGAAGACAGCTTTCTGAATTTCAATAATTCCAAATTATTTCTTGAAGAGTTTAAGCCTCCTCCCCAAATCATTTCATATGCTTACTAATAAGGATATGGGGGGGGAAAACCCATATTTACAGAGCAAGCAAATTATACTAGAAGAATGACTTCTAGAAAAGGTTGCTGCTTGTCAAGAAAATCTTATTATAAACTTTTTTTTATTCTTTGCATTTTATTTTCTTTTCCAGATTATCTGTATAGACTTATACACATATTATAATCCAAAATAGTTGAGCTTTAAATAAAACATAAATCAATATAGAAGAACCTACAGAAATAGTGCTAAGAATAAGGGTTACTGAAAAGATGTGAAATAAAAAAAGCAGGTTATGCAGTAATAATCCGATTTTGTAAGTAAAATAAAAACAAGGTTACAAAATAATAGCCTGTACTTTCATTTTATAAAATGTCTACATATTGAATATTTTACATGAAAAGCCATCAAACATATAGATCAAAGTATTAAAAGTATTTCCTTCCCCAAAATCTCTAAACCCCTTACTAAACATGAGGAAAATACCATACAAACTCAATTTCATAAATGAAATAGCTGGCCAGAACTCTTCAATACTATCATAAAGGGGCCTCCCTGGTGGTGCAAGGGGTTAAGCACCGCATTATGAAGCAATCTGCAGCCTCTGCAGGCAGACCTCTCTGACTTGCCTGCTGCTCCCCTCAGCAGTGTATTTCAGTCAGTCTGCCTGTTCTGTTCCCCACTCTGTCTCTGGTAAATCCTCTCACCACCACTGCCCCCCCCACATCTCTGGCTTGTACCCCAGCTCTTGTATGCATAAATAAACAAATCTTTAAAAAAAAAATACCATCATAAAGGCAGCTTTCTGCCACCTGTGTCTATGCAGGTGACTCAATGTCTCTTTTTCCTAATAAATCTACCTCCTAAAATGCAAAAAAAAAAAACCCACCAAAATTGTCATTAAAAACAATAATAGTTTGGAAATCAGTCATAGCCCAGAGAACATGACAATTATATTCAATGTGAATCCTGGACAGATTTAGAACAGAAAAAAAGCTTTGGTGGAAAAGCTGGGGAAATGCATGGGCCTCCCCAGTGGCGCAGCGGTTGAGCGCTGGGTTGCGAAGCTGCCCGCGGCCTCTGCAGCACCGGTTCGATCCCCGGCTGCTCCCCGGACACCAGAGGAGGGTCCCCATGGCACGCAGGCCTCTCCTGCCGCCCGCTGCTCCCCTCAGCAGTGTACTTCGGTCCTTCTGCCTGCTCTGCTCCCCACTCTGGCTCTGGTGAATTCTCTCACCCTCCCGCGCTTCTGACTGTACCCAGTGCATGTATAAACAAA